GGGGGGGACACTGGGAGGACTGGGGGGACTGGGGGGTCTGGAGGGACACTGGGAATGGGGACACTGGGGATGGGCTGGGTGGACTGGGGGGACTGGGAATGGGGACACTGGGGGGCCTTGCTGGGAGGGGGTCACAGATCTGGGGGTCCCTGCCCTGGGGTCCCTGTCCTCGCAGAGGGGTCTCAGATTTGGGGGTTCCAACTTTGGGGTCCTGGGGGGGTCGCAGAGCTGAGGGGTCGCAGCTTCGGGGGTCCCAACCCTGGGGGGGTCCCAATTTTGGGGGGTTCCCCCAATCCGGGAGGGGTCCCAGTGCTGGGAGGGGATCCAGGTTTTGGGGGGTCCCAGTTTTGGGGGTCCCTGTCCTCAAAGGAGGGTCCCAGATTTGGGGGTTCCAACTTTTGGGGTCCCTGTCCTGGGTGGGGGGGTCACAGTCCTGGGAGGAAATCCAGGTTTTGGGGTGGGGGTCCCAATTTTGGGGGGTTCCCCCAGCCCAGGAGGGTCCCAATGCTGGGAGGGGATCCAGGTTTTGGGGGGTCCCGGTTTTGGGGGGTTCCCCCAATCCAGGGGGGTCCCAGTGCTGGGAGAGGATCCAGGTTTTGGGGGGTCCCAGTTTTGGGGGTCTCAGTCCCAGCAGGGGGGTCCCAACCTTGTCCCCTGAGAGAAGGGGAACCCCAAAAAGAAGCAAACCCCCAGAACAGGGAAGAGAGGAACCCCAAGAGCAGGAAAAACCCCACAAAGGTGGCGAGAAAACCCCCAAAAAGGGGGAGGGGGGTCCCCGAAATGGGGTGGGGACCCCCCGAGGGGACACTTGTCCCCAGGAGGTGTCCCCAGCTGTCCCTGGTGCCGCCCAGCCCCGCGTGGAGCTGGCCTGGGCCATGAAGGCGCATCAGCATGCCCAGGTCTACTTCAACGTGAGTCTGGGCTTCGGGGTTTGGGGTTTGGGGTTTCGAGGGTTTGGGGTGGGGATTTGGGCTGGGATTTTGGGGGTTTGGGGTGGGATTTTGTGGTTTTGGGGGTTTGGGTTTGTGGGGCTTTTAGTGGGGTTTGGAGAGGATTTGGGGGGGTTTAGTGGGGTTTGGGGGGAGTTCAGGGGAGTTTGGGGGGGTTTAGTGGAGCTTCCCCCCCTTTTGGTGGGGTTTGGGGAGCTTTTAGTGGGGTTTCCTCCCTTTTTTGTGTGGTTTGAGGGGGTTTTAGTGGGCTTTCCCCCCTTTTTTGTGGGGTTTCAGGGCTTTTAATGGGGTTCCTCCCTTTTTAGTGGGGTTTGGGGGCTTTTAGTGGGGTTTCCCCCTTTTATTGGGATTTTGGGGCGCTGAGGGTGTTTTTGACCCCCCAGAAATGGCACCTCTCCTTCGAGGGGATGGTCAAGGATTTCAGCTATGGGGCCAATTTCCCCCTTTTATTGGGATTTTGGGGTGCTGAGGGTGTTTTTAACCCCCCCAGAAATGGCACCTCTCCTTCGAGGGGATGGGGAAGGATTTCAGCTATGGGGCCAAGGCTTGGGTGGGGTTTGGGGAGTTTTAGTGGGATTTCTCCCCTTTTTAGTGGGATTTCCCCCCTTTTACTGGGATTTTGGGGCGCTGAGGGTGTTTTTAACCCCCCAGAAGTGTTTGAGGGGATGGTGAAGGATTTCAACTACGGGGCCAAGGCTGTGTGTGGGGTTTGGGGGTTTTAGTGGGATTTGGGGGTTTTTAGTGGGATTGGGGGAGTTCTATTGTGATTTTGGGTTGCTGAGGGTGTTTTTAACCCCCAGAAGTGGCGCCCGTTCTGCCTCAGCTTTGAGGGGATGGTGAAGGATTTCAACTTTGGGGCCAAAGCTGTGTGTGGGGTTTGGGGGGTGTTTATTGGGATTTCTCCCCTTTTTTAGTGGGATTTCTTCCCTTTTTAGTGGAATTTCCCCCCTTTTTAGTGGGATTTCCCCCTTTTACTGGGATTTTGGGGCACTGAGGGTGTTTCTATCCCCCCAGAAGTGGCGCCTGTTCTGCCTCAGCTTCGAGGGCGTGGTGGAGGATTTCCCCTCTGGGGCCGAGGCTGTGTGTGAGATTTTGGGGGGTTTTAGTGGGATTTTGGGGTGCTGAGGGCGTTTTTAACCCCCCAGAAGTGGCGCCCGTTCTGCCTCAGCTTCGAGGGCGTGGTGGAGGATTTCAACTTCGGCACGCTGCTGCGCCTGGACAGCGGCGGGGAGTACTCGGAGGAAAACACCATTCTGGGTGGGTTTGGGGTGCGGGGGCCGGGGGCAGCCCGGTCCCACAGCTGATCCCTGCCCTGCTCCTTGCAGCCACCAGGATCCAGTTTCTGGCCATCGAGATCGCCCGGAACAGAGAGGGCTGCAATGATGGGGTTCACAGGAGGGGCAGGGAGGGAACGGCGGCGTGAGCTCGGGGTGGGATCGGGGTGAGATTGGGGTTGGGATCGGGGTGGGATTGGGGTGAGATCGGGGAGAGATCGGGGTGGGATCGGGGTGAGCTTGGGATGGGATCGGGGTGGGATCAGGATGGGATTGGGGAGAGATTGGGGTGAGATCGGGATGGGATCAGGATGGGATCAGGGTGAGATCAGGGTGAGCTCGGGGTGAGATCGGGATGGGATAGGGATGGGATCGGGGAGAGATTGGGATGGGATCGGGATGGGATCGGGGAGAGATTGGGATGGGATCGGGGTGAGATCGGACTCGGGGGGCTCAGATCACTCTGGTCCCTCAGGGCTCCCTGTGGGGTCACTCAGGGGTCATTCTCGGGGTCCCTTGGGGCTCAGGTCACTCTGGGGTGACTCGGGGTCCCTGTGGGGTCACTCTGGGGTCCCTCAGGGCTCAGGTCACTGTGGGGTCACTGTGGGGTCACTCAGGGGTCACTCTCGGAGTCCCTCTGGGGTCACTGTGGAGTGACTGGGGGGGCTCAGGCCACTCTGGGGTCACTTGTGGGGTCACTCTGGGGTCCCTCAGGGGCTCAGGCCAGTCTTGGGGTCCCTCAGGGGTCCCTGTGGGGTCACTCTTGGGGGGCTCAGCCACTCTGGGGTCACTGTGGGGTCCCTCTTGAGGTCCCTTGGGGCTCAGGTCCCTCAGGGCTCCCTGTGGGGTCACTCTCGGGGTCCCTTCGGGGGGCTCAGCCACTCTGGGGTCACTCAGAGGTCCCTGTGGGGTCCCTCAGAGGTCACTCTTGGGGTCCCTTGGGGCTCAGGTCACTCCAGGGTCCCTGTGGGGTCACTGTGGAGTGACTGGGGGGGGACTCAGGCCATTCTGGGGTCCCTATGAGTTCCCTCAGGGGTCTCTGTGGGGTCTCTTGGGGTCACTCTGGGGGTCCCTTGGGGCTCAGGTCCCTCAGGGGTCACTGTGGGGTCCCTCTCAGGGGGCTCAGCCACTCTGGGGTCCCTGTGGGGTCACTCTGGGGTCCCTCAGGGGGCTCAGGCCAGTCTCGGGGTCCCTCAGGGGTCACTGTGGGGTGACTCTCGGGGGGCTCAGCCACTCTGGGGTCACTCAGAGGTCCCTGTGGGGTCCCTCAGAGGTCACTCTTGGGGTCCCTTGGGGCTCAGGTCACTCCAGGGTCCCTGTGGGGTCACTGTGGAGTGACTGGGGGGGGACTCAGGCCATTCTGGGGTCCCTATGAGTTCCCTCAGGGGTCTCTGTGGGGTCTCTTGGGGTCACTCTGGGGGTCCCTTGGGGCTCAGGTCCCTCAGGGGTCACTGTGGGGTCCCTCTCAGGGGGCTCAGCCACTCTGGGGTCCCTGTGGGGTCACTCTGGGGTCCCTCAGGGGGCTCAGGCCAGTCTCGGGGTCCCTCAGGGGTCACTGTGGGGTGACTCTCGGGGGGCTCAGCCACTCTGGGGTCACTCAGGGTTTCCTCAGGGGTCATTCTCAGGGTCCCTTGGGGGGCTCAGTCACTCTGGGGTGCCTGTGGGGTCACTCTTGGGGGGCTCAGGCCACTCTGGGGTCACTCTGGGGTCCCTGTGGGGTCACTCTGGGGTCACTGCGGGGTCTCTTGGGGTCACTCTGGGTGTCCCTTGGGACTCAGGCCACTCTGGGGTCACTCTGGGGT